TTTATATGAAAAAATTCATGAATTGTATGGGATTTTATAAATGTTATATGAGTGTAAGGTAGTCTTCTTGTTTCTTGTAGATATAAAAACGAATTCTCGTTCTATTGAATCTGACGCTTTTATCGTTATCACGGCTCAAAGCGAGCACCCTCATTCATTCATAATAACTCCGGTCCGACTTCTGAAGCTTCTGTGATTGGAAATGAAGGATACGATATTTTATTTTCGTGAGCAATACACGCGTATATAAATTTAATTTACCAAAATATTATTTCTCTGTAATTGACTACGAACTTGTTATATGTGTAAACCAATTAAAGCCGTGTACGATGTTTTTTATATGGTAAATAAATTGTATTTGAAATATTCAATTCGAACTGAATATTTTGTTAGTTGGGCGTTTTATATAATGTTTTTCAGAGTATGTAGTGAATATTATCCTGATATTTTTAATATAACGTGGGTCACTGGGCACCGCGTGTCTGTGATCGAGTTATCCTTCTAAGGTCATTTATTCGCTCTGCTGACGTGTTAACAAGTTATTCTACTTTTTCCATACTATATATAAAATATCTAAGAATTTTCTAGAAAAAATATGAAGCTTTCACTTTAGAAGCCTTTTAATGTATAAGATATGTGCCTAATTGAATATATTCTGACGAGTCGGTTTTATGTGTGATATCTTGGAAATTATGAGTTAGCTAAATTAAGTTGCTGTGTAGCAACGATCCCCCGGGGTTCAAATAATTGTTCCATGTATTATCGCCCAGACAAGCCTTGACCTACATACAGCGTGACCAAACGAAGGCTGTCTGTATATTGTAGGTATATAATCAGTTTAAATATACATACATTTAAATTTTCGGTTCTCGTTTATAAAGCTTCTTTCTAAGCAATTTTTAAGCTCCTGTTCCTTGTACAATGTTACTTTTTAATTACTTACTTGTAGCTACGTGATAATCCTCGTAGCATATCTACGTTCTTTTATTATAAATTCTCTCACGTTTATCTAAGCGGATGATGGACGGTTTGCTCTTTTAACATTTATGTTTTAATAAGTTTAGTAAAATTTCTATTTATCCAAAGTGTTTTCTTACAATATGAACGACGTATGCTAACAGCGTAAATAAATTGCCATTTAAATTTATAAATATCAATGTCTTTTGAGTTTCCCTTTCGTTTTATATATGTAGGAGCGGGTCTTTGTGGGGAACGCGGACTACTCTTGTAAATTGAATAATGGCTAGCTCGCCTCAGCTAAGTGGATTCAATTCTACTTTACGTGAGCTTTCTGATGTCAACTGTCTACGTATGAGCATGGAAATGTTGTTGGTTCTATTATTATCGTTTCCGTATAGTATACAATCAGGTTTCCTTTGTCATCTTTTTATGTACTGTTTTTTTTTATATTATTCCGTTTATTTTCAGGCGCAAAGTGACGATGATGACGTCGGGCCTGATGATGTTAACGTTCCCGTCGAAGGAGGCTTTATGGATGAATTCTTCAGTGAGGTAAGAGATTATTTTAAACACTCAAGTTTTGAACTAGAATATCTTTTATATTAAATAATTAAAAAAATCTCAATACTATTCCTTCTCCATGTAAGAAGAGGCTGATGATGATGATGATCATGATCATTAAGTCGAGGTACATTGATGATAGTTATTTAATTTTATATCATACGACAGCTAGTCTAAGTATTTTACAAGTATATCAGAATCACTTCAGCATCATCGTAATATAAAGCCAAATTTAATTATCTTTTGTTCTTGTTTTTTAAAATAAAAAGCGTCTCTTATAAAACTCCTATGTCAATAGATTATCTCGACTCTATTGTTTGCGAGTCAATATACAAAAGCTTCTCCGTCCTAAGTTTAGGATTTTCGTTTTAAATTTTAACATTTTTCCTCAAAAGTAATATAAAGTTACTTAAGAGTTAAGACGAAGATAATAGTAAAGTACATTGTAGTGCTTTTAAGGCCATAATAGATAGTTCAGTGGGCACTACGGAGCTGGTGACCCAAATCAGATAAGGTTGAAATTATGTATTGAATAGAAAAATGAGAAATTACTCTGCAGTAATCATTATCAGTCAGGCGTAGGACATATAATCAAATTGCAAGGTATTGTTATATGAACATTATATTTTATACATTTTACCTTTTAAATAAATTAAATAAAGCTATTGGATAATATGTCATTAATATATATGTATAGGAATATAGACATACATATATCTATTAAATATTAATGTTTTCATATAATGAAATGGACATTTAATCTTATTTTATTATCAAAATAAAATAAATATGTCTAGAAGATATCATCATTTATCAGTTTTGAGGCGTTTACTATTTATATACTTTGCAGTTACATACAAATGTGATGTATAATTAAGTATGTGTCTTTATATATAGATTTGATCTTTATTAAGAAAAACACAATGATGCTTTCAAACTTAAATATCTATGCAGATGTCTTAAAAGCCTCTCGTCGCACGATTTTCCATTTAGCACAGAAATAGTGTCTGCGCTTTAAAATTTACACTCAAGCATAAAAAGTTTTAAAACGTACTCCTGACTTGACGAGCTGAGTGTCTCTGGAGTCTAATTTAATCGACCGAACCGGCTTGGGTCGCATAAATTTATCGATAATATATTAAATGCTTTATATTATATACTAGATAACGTTTATCTGTCTGGAATTTTATCGCTGGCATTGTTACTCACAAATCTTGGCTGGCTGATAATTTATTACGTGTGTATATGAAATATTGAAGATGACTGCTGTTTGCAAATTCTCGTTGTAATCTTCTTCTTCTATATATATAAAAATGGATTGCTGTTCCTTAGTCTCGCTAAAACTCGAGAACGACTGAACATATTTATCTTATCTTAGTCTTGAAATGTTCGTGGAGGTTCAGGGAAGGTATAAAAGATGAAAAAAATTGATTCATTTCCGGGAAACCCCTAAAAACAGTCCTTTTCTATTTCCCATACAAATGTTTTCTTTGACATTAGATTTGACAACTAACTAATATGTCAATCATTCTGTTCAATTGAAACAGGAAAAACCTGATTATTAATGGCCTCTAGGACGGAATAGAGTTCGCCCGGTCAACTATACATATATTACTAATGATGAAATTAACGCGGACGAAGTCGCGGGCAAAAACTAGTTTTTAATATATCACGAACTAGATCAGGTGCATTTCCGACTGGCTTGTACCGGTTATATAAACAATAACTATGCAGACTATTGTTCAGAACTAACTTCCACATGAACATTTGTATAGCAATTTATTTCAGCCACCGCTGTAGACGCGAGCTCGTTCGAAGTTACTCCGGCACATGTTTTACGGACAATCTATTGTTGCTCAATATCAACTTCATTTTAATTTCCTACAAAAAATGATAGCTTACTGAATTTTATCAGACCAATTATTCGACGAAATGTTTATTATATTCAAATCACGTCAATGGGAATGTGAAACAAAGAATTTTTTTATGATTGTTATTTTACATCGCGTGAATGATATTTTTATTTATCTCTGTACACGTAAAAAATATGACAAGTCGAGAGAGGCTGTCCTGAATAAATTTTATTATAGAAAACTCTCAACGAAAAGAGCGTTGTGAAGTAGAGATATTTTGAACAAAATATTTCAAATCCAACAAACAGTGTATGAATAGAACGTTCAAAGTGACGCAATGAGAACAAACTGGGAATTCTTAACGACGAGGGTTAAGAGGAAATAAAATTTTATTCAAACCAATATATATATATAATTCTAGTGTAGGTATGTGAGTATATCTGGACAGATTTGTTCCACAGATGGTTTATTTCAACAAATCAAGCCGGCACATAGTCCAACAGTTGGTATGTAGGTTAAATAAAATGAAAAGGCTGCATGTAGGTTACTATACGTATTGTTTAAACACTATACATTTCTGAAAGGAACTCTGATGTTCACGCGGACGGCGTCGCGGGGAAAGACTAGTATACATATACCTATATATATTCAACAATCGTGAAACTTTCAGCTTGTTTCCTATGACACAGCTTTGTTTACTTCCAGACACATCGTGTTAATGAACACTAGTGCATCTATAGTTGTATTAAACTTATTATGTTAATGCAATAAACGATTTAAAATCACAATATTGTTAGGAAAAGCCAACGTTATCGCTTCAACATATTTGTGACGTCATCGCTTGCTGATTTAATCGCATAGTATTGTACATATATGTACATTTTATCGTTATATTATGTACTTATAACTTGCAGGGGTCTATAGATTTTGGTTTCTTTCCGTTTGGAAGTCTCTCGTTTTCATAGGGTTACCTTAATAAATCTCGTCGGATCCAGGGGTCGGCTGGTAATTGGAATAACGGGTAACGGATGTATCGGGAATGAGAGATGGGTCAATAGATACTGGTTATATATTTGTCTGTGATAGATCTATTGTACGTATGTTATATTATATATTATGCTACGACCACATTTATATCATCGTAGTCTATCGTAGTATGGACCCCTGAAATACAAGTTTTTCTAACATATGTTGATTAATAAGTTTTGCGTAAAATTGTACATAAATCCAATTTGATAGTATGATATATTTATTGTGCTGTGACAGTAAGTTTATATAGTTGTTCAATTATTTCGAACTTCACGTATATTATTGAGAAAAGAGAATTAAGTAGCTTTTTTTTCTATTCACCTGACTCAGCCACCTACTAAGGAATTATTCATTAACATTTGTACGCAAGGTTTTAATTATCGAGCCAGATAAATTTAATAATATATGTATTAAAAGGAATGAATTATTATTGTTGTTAATAAATTTAATAAAACATATGTATACAGTATGAGTGATGTCACATCGGCCTGTAACTCATCGTATTCATCATATCGTGAAATTCATTTGCATGTTATATGTGACGTTCTGTGACCGTATTAAGTTTCTGCTGGGTCACGATACGACGACGACACGACAATGGGACGCCGACGAGTGGCCGACGACGCCGTCCGGGCGCCCTCTAACGTAACGGAACAATGACGTTCCGTACGATATTGAACGCTGAAATGTTTGCTATGCCTACCGTCCGGCTCTACACTGTTATTAGCACAAGTTATATTTACATTCAAATAGAATTTCCATATGCATACGTTCACAATTGAACCACGTTCTATAATGAAATATATGTATAAGGTTCGCAATAGTATGACCAATGTAGGGAATGCATATTATTTATTCAACTTCAACAAGTGAAAATCGACATATGTTTTGTATGTTATTAAGAGTTTATTATAAAAAAGGTATAAATAATGAATAGTATTTCAGGTCGTACTTCGTTTATTGAATGCGAATGCTGATATAACTTATCACGGTGATCTGATTAATTGTGTCTCAATTATAAGTTGAGGTCAAACAATATAACAGTTGTAATATTCGTATCACATATTTATTTAATTTATACACAAAAAATATTTAAGTATAAAAATTACTATCAAATAAATTATGTAAGTAATTTAAAAGAAAATTTTAAGGTAACAGTCCGTTATTGGTTTAAAAATATTTTAAATAGTATAAAGCGTGGTGCAATTTAGTTAAACGTATAAGGCAAAAATAGAACGAGATTGCATTAGCTAAAAAAATTCTAAAATTTAATATTCTATAAACATATTTTATAGATCATATATAATGAGATAGTTAAAGCTTTGGATCCACGAAGAAATTTTTTATTACGACTTCCAAATCTTGGGGGTGCTTTTAAACTTAAGCACAATGCATAATAGCTCGAGTTTGTTCAGCGGTTGGATGCTTGCCAGCGCTTCCTCTGACCGAATTAATGCGGATGCTCCTAAACAATTCGTTATCAGTTCTCGACTATAACCACAAGTCAAGCGGTCTCCGTGCTAATCGCATGCTATTCCATCATAAATTCCTATAGTATCTAGGTTGGTAAAAAATGTATGATTGATAAGCTAATAACTATTGGATTTGAACGAATGAAAGCAGTTTGTAGTTGTTGTACTATAGGGTCTCAAGAACAATGTTACGTTTGCAAACGGTCCCAGTAAAGTCGGTTATTACAGAGTTTTCCTAGCAATTAAATTTTAAGTGGCTTCTTTAGGCTTCACAAAAGTTTTCTGTGTATAAATCATTTCTGTTACATGAGTTCGTTAATTAATTTTTTTAAGGTTTTTTTTTTCTGAGTGGGTTATAAAAATTATTTCTTTTTGCATTCAATTACGTTAACATGAAAGTATTTCTCAACTCTCAATGAAATACGGTATTTTCAAAGCAAAAGGAACGATGTATTGAAATATTTATACTAAATTAAAATCTCTCTTAACACTTAGTACTTACCACACAAGGTTCGTCATACTCGTATATAAAAAAGACTTCATAATAAAAGGCCACATGTTTATTGATAATTCTACGTCAACTATAGCGAATGTTCTGATATGCACAATATCTGTAACATGTATAAGCTTTTGAAAAAGATAAGATCATTTCATACTATCAGCAATATTAATTCTTTTCAGAGATATTTATTTCATTTTTACCAAATGTCATTACAATGACGAGAAACATTTTTAAACGAAAATATTCAATTTAATTACTACTTAAATGAAAATTTTGCTTACGAATCTATAACAAAGTATAAATATAAAATAATTGTTCTAACATATTTGTATCAGATTATCTGATTCTTTATAAAATAAAGAATCCAAAGGTCAAATAGTTGGCACTTCTTTTCCGCCAAAGTACCGGAGACAATTACTGTAATTTCACATTTCTTTGGTCTTTGTCTTTATGCTCTTCATATTAAAGTTACTCCGTAGAGTATGTCCATTATATTTCCTTTTCTTCTACAATATTTCGTGATATTTATGAAATAGGACGTAACAAAATAGTTTGCTAAGCAGTACACTATGAAATTTTTGTTTGCTTAATATTCTACATTGAAAATTCAACTTTAATTCATGTATATAAAGTGAGTTTTAAAATTGTATCGTATTCATTATTTTCATCTATTTTCCCAGGTGGAAGAGATACGAGAAATGATAGACAAGATACAGGCGAACGTCGAAGAGGTAAAGAAGAAGCATAGTGCCATTTTATCAGCGCCGCAATCAGATGAAAGTAAGTGATAAGACCCTGATAAATATTTGACGTACTATCAGTCAATGACCTTAGATAACCTAACTCTCTCACTTTGACATTTAATGAAATTAAGCTAATTTATTTAAAATAATATATGTTTGTTTGATATTATTTTTGACCTGAGTGGGCGTGGAATCAAATTAAATCAGTTTAATGATATCAATAGTGTCGGTTAATCACAGGACCTTTAAATGTCTGCTATAAATGGCAAAAATCGCAGCAAAGGTTAACACGTGGGCGGATGAGGGGAAATAGTATCTAAAAATAAATATTGTTTCAATACTCGTCTACCAACGTCATTGGATTACGTTGCAGGCGGCGTGGGATGAGCGTTTAGTTCGATAGTGCTTACTCATTAATCTAAGGGCTGGTTAAAAATGTATGGCTTGAACTAAACAAGTAATTCCTTTATATATATACATATAAATAAGTAAATTGGTATATTGTCTTCTTCCTGACAATTTCCCAGCTTTAGCCAGGGTCTTTACATGTTATAAATAATTTTGGCTAATTGTTTTTACAACTGACTAACATCAACCCTCTTTGGTAAAGAATAGGTCTATTATATAGGGTGTCCCAACAAGAACGCAATTTTTAAATTTTAAATAAAACACTGATATTTAAAAAAATATCGTGAAACTTTATTATATCGTAAAGTAGATAGAATGAGGTTATGTATGGAACAAGATATCGTGCAGATGGCCGCCGCGGCTTTGCAGGCACACGCGCGAACTTTGAATGAAATTTTCTAGGACCGTTTTGCATAAATACTGCGGTATTTCATTAATACAGCGTCCGATTTCCTCTTTTAAGGCTTAAGTCGTCGTCGGCTTATTCGCGTGAACCATCGACTTCAAAAAACCCCAAAGAAAATAATCTAAAGGTGTTAAATCGCACGATCTAGGCGGCCTATTCTGGTCTCCAAAACGGGAAATAACATGACCAGGAAATGACTGATGCAGCAATTGAATTGTTTCTCTGGCTGTATGACATGTGGCGCCGACTTGTTGACACCACATGCCGTCCACATTCATTTCTTCGATTCTAGGCAAGAAAAAACTGGTAATCATTTCACGATATCGAACACCATTGACTGTTTGCGTTGTTGTTGTTGTCTTTACATCACTAACAGACTCAGTTTCGGCAAATTTATTCATTAATCTCTTTACAGTTGACTCTTTTTGAGTAATTTGCAAACTGTAGCCGCAAAACTTTCACCATTTTGGTAAAACAATTTTACAATGAAAATGCGTCGTTCATTCGTGTAGCGCTCCATTTTTACAAACCTTGTACCTTCTACAAGCAAATAATAACAATTGTTCAAATGTCAAACAATGGCACTTAAAATGGAGCCAAAGTTAAAAATTGCGTTCTTGTTGGGACACCCGTTATATAGTTTTATAAACGAGTTTATGTAATGCTATCTGTAATGTATATTTCAAATGTCCGATACGTATCTTAAATTGATTAAGTAGCGCTGGCGGGTAGGATATGGGGTAATTCCGGCTTCGAGACCACGCCGGTCCCCCAACGAATACACATGCCTAGATATAATTCAATTACACATAGTCTATGACAAGGATACTATATCTCGATTCAAATTTAATCGATATTTTTTATATTCGGACTATGTAATCACTTTAAATAACACCTTTCTAAATAATATCTTTAAAATTATGCGACCAGTATTATGTATGTGAAAGTGGATGTATGCATGTTTGTTGCCGTATTACACAAAAACTGCTTTACAAATTTCGATGAAACTTTACAGCTATGTAGCTTAGATATCAAATTAAGATATAGAATATAATTTATCCCAGAATTAATATCTATGGTTATAACATATCCTTTGAGAATTTCGATGTTGATAGACGAAGTTCTGGTCAAAAACTAGTTCATGATAAATGTACGTAACAAGTTTTATAATTAGATCTATTTATGAACACGGAAGACGAGGGTTCGGTTCAGCAAGAGATTTATAACCCTCATTGGTTAGAACAGCTCATTACTTATAATTTGAAAATGAAAGAAAAAATAATGAAGCCATGCGACGTCAACATTAGTCTTATTATGAAAAGTTGAATATTTCATATTTATTTTATATAAAAGTAACAGAAATTATCACATTTTATTATCACAAACATTTTAAGTCACTTTGCCTATATTATTATTCATCATCATCATCATCATCAGCCTATCAGACGCCCACTGCTGAGCAAAGGCCTCTTTCTCACATGGAGAAGGTTTGAGCATTAATCACCACGCTTGCTCAGGACGGGTTGGTGATTTCAAACTTATAATTGTGAAACTATAAGTCCAGGTTTCCTCACGATGTTTTCCTTCACCGTATGTCAGTGATGTCTAGATACTCTCAGAAAGTACATATGACTCCGAAAAATCACATTGGTACTTGCCCAGGTTTGAACCCGCGCCCTCTGTAACGAGAGGCGAGCCCCTTAACCACTAGGCCACCACTGACTATTATTATTAATTTTATTAAATAAAAGCATTTTTATAAATACTTTCAGTAAAAGTAAAGCGTTTAGAAATTCTGTTTCAAAAGCTTTGCATATACATGTCTGTGTTTTTGAGCACATTTATATAGTTTTTCAGGACATTGAAGTGTTTTTATTGTTAATAAATAAATATATTAATAAAGGACGAAGTATTATAACGGTTATTAGGGAAACAATTTGGTTGTGATATATATACATATATACATTTGTTCAGCGTACAGTCAAAATCAAATATTATTAGACAAAAATACATATAGGAATTGTCAACATTGATCCAATTATTTTCACGAACATAGTATTCACCAAGCTCTCTCATTAAATATACATCACAAAAAATGTCTCCTAATATTGGATGATAAATTTGTATGTATGAAATAAGGTTATAGATGATGTACAATACGAAGGTTCCATGTAGCAACTCATTTCGTGGTCGGTGGGATGAGAACATTATTTATTTTGTAAATTATTGAGACATCACGTATCTTTAAAGTTCGTTAGGCCCGAAAAATTATGTACTCGATGTATTTGTTCGTTTGCTTAGTATTCAATACAAATAAAACATTTTTTTGGTACTATAATTCATAAAGGTGAACAATATCGAGTAAATCCATACAATTATTAATTGAAACACTCAACCCGTAACAAAACAAACAACGAAAAAAAGATGCTTCTGTTAATTGAATTTTTAATAACCCCCGCGTTTCATACCGTCCCCGGTCGCCAACTAGCCGGGCATTTAATCACTCAGCCGGCATTCCGTTAGTTTTAACAAAATAACGCAATTAATACTTTCACGAGTTAAAAATACTTTCGAGGCAAACAAAGGCATTTATGATATCGATTTTTATTCGTTTTTTCTTTAACATAATGTAACACTTGATGTAAGGCCTTGGTGAACCACTCACCTATATTCGCTATTCGGGAATGTATTTCACTTTGTATCCAAGGAGAGCAGTCTTCGTTAAATAGCTGTATTACCACTTGCAGAAGATTGACGTAATAATAATGTTGTATAGTAAATGATAGCATGTTTAGTCATAACATTAAAATCTCGTTCCATAGCTCGTAGCATAATTATCCGAGGAGGGCTCTAGCGTGACGTGTATGACCTAAATTGCAGGGAAAACACTGTACTCATGCATCTCTATAGTACAACTGAACTAAATAATGTACTGAAAATATTATGAGGGTTCTTTTTTATCTCTTGCCACTGATTCATTTCAGACTCGTAGAAAATAGCTTTCTCGTTCATATTTTTTTGTACTAGTCGATTTCTGCTTGAACTATTTTCAACTTAGCTTGAGTTTGAATTAAATTCATTACTATTTTTATTTCCTTCGTTTTATCATACATATATATCACAGGAATGTTTTTGTTATAAATCAGAGAAATCACTTTTAATTAAAAAAACACGTTTAAAGTATAAAGATAACAAAAAGTACAAATTTAGCTGAAGACTGAAGACTGTAAAAGATGAAAAAAACTATACGATATGAAGAGCAAATAGCTCGTCCAAGAAAAGCTGATTCTATGAAAGCTAAGCTTAGAAGAATACGTACATTGTCCAAAATTATTATTAGCAGCATGTATAAAAATATCACATATCTTTATATATCTAAATTAAACTAATATAATTTCCATATTGACTGTGTTATAGAATATTTCGGCTACTAGCAGAATTCACATCTGTAAATAATTAATTACTCTAATGCTACAGAATTCGGACGCAGTCCTAATCACTGGGCGTATAATTTATTTATGGACATAATTCGGTTTGAGTTAGCACCGGCCGTTGTAATTTACTTTTGTGAGCTGTGAGCTGTCACTGTAGTTATGTTTATTTGATTTTAATAATTCAGATTTTTGTATTTTGTATTATAGAAAAATATTATATTGGATATTCATTTAAATGAAGCTATAATTTTTCGGATAATCGAGATCTGGTCTGTCCGTGATCACGGTTGCTGAAAATTATACGAAACGTTGGTAGTATGGAATTTTTCACAAAAATAAACCGCGTAATATATCCGAAGACTATAAGTTACATTTAAATGAATAAAAATCGCGAAAATCGTAGATTTCTTTATAATGGATATTGCAAAGGATTAAGAACATTTCTGAGTTAAAGTACATTCTTATTCATTATTTTGTATCAAGTTCAGTGATACACATTAAGATATTTTAAAATATAATTAAAAACATATATGATTAATGCTTACAATTTCCTATAGTCCACTTTATCCTATGATATAATATTTATATCGTACGATATTTGGTCTGAATAAGGCTTCATTGAAATTAATTTCCCTGAATTAATTTGGGCTTACATTAATTTTGAATGACGATTTATTTAGGTATGTTTGTTGCGATTAGCTTTAATTAAGAAGATATTTTTATATTATAATACTACTATAAATAAATATAAATCATATCTTATTGAGACTCAGTTCATTTTTCATTATTATACAAATTTGTTTAAGATAAATATGTATAATAGTGCATTTGGAATGTTTCTCAATTAAATACTATTTACAGTTAAATGGTATAATTATAATATAATAAAGGTTTTTAGCAATGAAAAGTAACAAGTTTTCTTATTGTATTATACGAGATTTCTTGCTGGAACATATTTTACTCGGTTTGAACAACCGTGTAAATATTGTTTGAAAATTTAATGCTACGTAGCGTAATAATTCAGCTTGCTAATAGCGCTTATTAAGGATGAACAATGTTAAAATTTGTAATTAAAATCCCTATTCTTTGTTTAAATGTTTGAGATAAACGAAAATATTGTGTAATATATATTTAATACGTATTTTTGAGCAAAGAAAATTATTTATAAATTAATAACAGTCAAAGCTGAAATTCGAATTATATCAAACCAAATGGAAAGATAGTAATAGTTGTACAAACGTTAGTTATTCAGTTTCTGTTTCTGTACAGAAGTTACGTAATTCCTAAAGTCTCTTACTAACGAATGACAGAAGTTTACTTACAGCTAATTATATTACTTGGAAGACTTCACAACGTTGATCTGATTTTGTTGGAACGACGATTATTTCTGATCAAACTTCAACCAGATATAAGGGGATACAAATAATTGAACAAGTTTTCTGTTACGAGTAACAACTTGCTATTAGTTTTTACTCGTAATACATACAAATAATTTTATATACATAGATTGTTTTTATTGCATTAAAAACTAGCTTTCCGCCCGCAGCTTCGCCCGCGTGAAGTTCCGTTATATCGGGTTTCCAAGAAAACCTTTCAAAAAAATATCCTATGGGATAAAAACTATCCTATGATCTTTCTCAAGGTCAACTCTATCTCTGTACCAAATTTCATTAAAATCAGTTCAGTGGTATAGGCGTGAAAGCGTAACAAACAGACAGACAGACAGTCACTTTCGCATTTATAATATAGTAGGGATATATGGAACTAATATCCAACTGCCCTTCATTATAGTTACAATAGAATTAAACTCAGCTTTTACAACATTGATTTAATCAACTTCATGTGGCCAGAGCTTCACATAATTAATTAACGCCAAACTAATGACGTACCGTCAGTGACACTAGAGTGAATTATGATATGATATGGTGATGCAGTTCATGATATCATATACTTAGTTTTAATGAGTGCCGTGTAATAGTCACATAGGATTTTAGGTTCGGTTACAATGTACACTATGATTGGTACTCTTCAGTAACAAGCTTTAGTAAAAAATAAACACGGAATTATGTAATCCTTTTCATATTTCTATCTTTCTGAATATTCCTTTCCAAAGTTTTCATCGCTAATCATTTACTTTCAATAATTTTATAGTTTCATGGTACCTTCCTTTAGCTTGTCGCTTACGTGACCGTGTTTCGTGAATCTATTTTTAATATCAATTATGTACTACGAACGGTTTGCTCTGTAATCTGTCGACTGTTATTTTAACGTTAAGTTGTGAAGTATTCTGTTTATAATCGATATCATAGAGAATTTTTTGAGCCTACCGGTGACTGGTCTTTGTAATTACGATAAATTTTTCTGTATACTTATTACCCGTGAAATCTCCGGTTCATATAAACGCCTAACTGTCTAGAGACTCTGCTGTGTTGGATACCAAAAAATAAATTCCATTCTGACATATTGACATAGTACGTCCTTTAAATAGAAAGTATTTTTAAAAGTATTTTCAATTTATACTGTTAGTTAAATGGATTATGAATATATCAAATAAAAACCCTTTATTTTTCTACTCCATATTTACAAATAAGACTGCTGAAAGGTACCAGCATTACTTATTGCAAGTTTCCTACATTATCGCCTAATTAGTTTTTTCAATAGATTATTTTAACGAGGTGTTCTGAATCTAAATCTGCTGTAATTCATAACGACTAAATTCTTTCAATGATACGCCCCCTTATAGTATTCACGAAAATAATTAATGTTATAGAAACTGAAGAACAGACTGCAATTAGTTTATACAATGGAAGAGACCAGGTCAAGATGGTCGACCTTATTAATATGATGAATTATGATACTAATATAAGTGTAGAGTATGTCTGTTTGTGAATATTTTATTTGTTCATCCAGCCACATTTAGCCGAACCCACCTAACGTGGGAAGAGGCAAGGAAGAAAAAGAAGTTTAGCCAATCTCACTCTTTCACCCAATTTTTTAACTGAACTGAATCAATTCTTGATTAGCTTTACATATACAAATTTAGTGACGTCATATTTATAAAACTCTAGCAAAATCTAATCGTTTAGTGTTTGGTTTAAATATGACGCATACGAGCGGCCTTACCAACTGATAAGGATTTCTCAAATGCCAATTACCCTCGATGATTCAGCCATAGAAATATTAAAAATCGGAGCACTGCATCGGACAGCCAATTAGGAAATACAATTCGGCAGTTATTGTGTGAGCGTTTTATTATGTTCAGTATATTAAAAACAAATAATTATTCATATTGAACTCAATTACTATGAACGGATCGATTTTGGTATATTTAAAATATATGTAATATTTACTTTACTTAAAAACGCTTTCCCTCTAAGATGTTTTGGAGGGCATCAAAGCCTAAAATTAAGGTGTTCATTGTATAATATAACTCTCTATTGTTTTCACTTTAAATTTGTATTATAATATATTTTCAATAATATAGTTTTTTTCCTAATATTAAGGTAATTTTTTGGTGTTGTTTTATAAAATAATAAACTTGTTTTCTATATGCAAACTACAGGGCATATATGTTAATAAACATTATGTTAAAACAATTAAATTTAAATGCAACCAAATTAATTTATATTGGATAATAAAGTTTTTTCTAATAGTCGTATATATTTTTTTTATATAAATGTGTGGTTTTGTGTGTTTTTTAAAATCATATTACAAAAAAATTCCTTACAAATCGATATTGACCACTAAGATCGTTATAAATTTGAAATTCCATATCATTAAATTAGTTTTAATAATGTATAAAAGTTTGAAAATATCAACATCGGCTTTGATAACTTTTTTATTTAATGTTACATATGAATCCGTGGATTTCAAACTTTTACAGGCACATAAAGAAACTTTCTGTTAGAATTATGTATGAAAGGTTTAGTACATAATATAAGTGATTTATTTTTTATTTCAGAGACAAAGCACGAACTTGAAGATCTCATGGCCGATATTAAGAAGACTGCCAATAAAGTTAGAGGGAAATTAAAACGTAAGTATTTATAATATCAGTACTATAAAAGATATAATAATTAAGTAGAAATATAGACTTTATAGCTCTTAAACTAGACAGAATTGTATGTGACATTAAATATCAAGGTGTATGTCAGTTCGTAAAGCAATAAAATATTAACCTTACAATTGCTCAAATGGGAACATCAATTCCGGGTTGTATGTAACCTATGCAAATATCACCGGCTAAATCAAATTTGTGTCCCTCTGAAACAAAGGCCAGGTAACTCCGACTGAATATAGGACGAATGTAAATATACACGTTATAACACGATGTTTGATACAGTAATAATAAATTTACTAATGACTATAAATAATTCATATTAAATTCGATTATACGAGTACTAGCTTTCCGCGCGCAGCTTCGCCCGCGTGGAGTTCGGTTATATCGTTTCCAAGAGAACCTTTCAAAAGTTTATGATAAAAATTTCTTATGTTCTTTCTCAAGGTCAACTCTATTGTACCAAATTTCATTAAAATCAGTTCAGCGGTTTAGGCGTGAAAGCGTAACAGACAGACAGAGTTACGCATTTATAATATTAGTAGGGATAAAATAATTTTGTTTAAAGAATCATTTTAAACTATTGAGAACTGTTTTGTTTATAGACATAGAACAAAACATCGAACAAGAGGAGCATTCCAACAAATCGTCCGCCGATCTCAGAATAAGAAAGACCCAGCACTCGACTCTGTCTCGTAAGTTCGTTGAGGTGATGACGGAGTACAATCGCACCCAGACGGATTACAGGGACAGGTGCAAAAACAGAATACTCAGGCAGCTGGAGATCACGGGCCGGGCTACGACCGACGATGAGCTGGAGGCTATGCTGGAACAAGACAACCCCGCTGTGTTCACTCAGGGGGTGAGTGTATAACCACTATTCATACAGACTTATTACGTAGAGAGCCTATCAAGCATATTCATTTATGAGATACAAGATTTTCGCGAGTATTCATTGAAATTAGGTAGACGAAGTTTGATACAACCACTAGCGATTCAAAAAATAGCTTACTAAACATATTCATTTATGAGAACTTATTCAATGAAATTAAACTAATATTTTTTGCATTTACTTAGTTTTTTTTAGCAGTATACTCCCGACGTTTCGGTTACTCTGTAGCAACCGTGATCACGGTCAGACGAAATGTCGTGATCATGGTAGCTACAAAGTAACCATAACGTCGGGAATATGTTGTTAAAACTAATTATAAACGCGTAGTAAATCCAAAAATATGAGTTTTATTTCATTTTAAATTTCTCTAAATAATTTTGAACCCGATCATAACTACAGAATCATAATTCATTGTTAGTAATTGCCTCAATGTACATAAATCTGGGTTAGCCTTTAAACCTGTTCATTGAGGTTGTAATAATTCACAATATATTATATACGTATAATATTATTCTTTATATATAATATCACTTTTATAATATTCAATACAGCGTAATTAATGATACATGCATTAATTACCGGATGTAAGGTTTTTATTGTATAGGTAATTCATAACGTTACTATATTATGTTAGTAAAACTATGATGGCTCTCTGTATGTATTGCTCTATACATATTATACGTAATGTAGAAATCTATCATTCGGGATCTATTCCTCATTACTATTTGTATTATTTGTAGTGTTATTTCTTTTAGTATCAGTAGTTTCTTATTCCATTTAGCATCTTATGATATACACTTTAAGTATCACTTTGTATATTGTATGTACAAGTTTCTAATAATAGCCATTAATTCCCTCCCACTTAGAATATTTTACTATGAGTCACGAATCGGGTTTTTTCTGTTCTACCCTCCACAATAAGTGATTAGATTAGTCATCGTCTAATGTTTTATTAAATAAAATTATTTTATTACTTTAACTCAATTATACTAACACGTCAGCTGGATAAAATATTTGACTTTTTTTTTTTTGATTCTTACAAATTATTTGTAACAATTGCCCTTTGTAATAAAACGTTTAATTTATGAGTACAGTTCTTAATAAACTTATTCCTATTGGGATAGATTTAAACATTATAATCGCTAAGTCACTATTGCGATAATATTCATGTATATTCCTTTTATAATCTGAAATTCTTTTATGCAAACAAGTTTATGACACACAATAGAAACTAGTTATTTGTTCTGTGTTAGTTCAACTGTGAACTAAATGTTCTTAGTAATTATAATATAATTATTATCAATATGTTTAAGCTGACTGATATTTTATATCTATACAAAAATAAGGACGTATGAATTGTATATTTTAGAGAAAAGTAATAAAATTTCTAACTAAGTTGAACACTCGTAATACTCATTATATTTATTTTGAAGCCATATTAAATTGTCACTAATGAATATTTCGCAAATCCAATTATATATACATACGGACTCGCTGAATGAAAGTTAATTATATGACCAATATGAATAAATACTAAAATAAAAAATTAACCAATCAACGAAATCGATACAAACTGCCGAATTTTTACCCAAATTTAACTAAATGAAACTAGGATTACTACGCGTACTTTATTCTTATTAAAAATCTGCATACCCCCGTCGTTTCGGTTACTTTGCAGCTACAATAATCTCTTATGCCCTTATCCGTGCCCGCTTAATCGTATTAATCCAAAAATTTCAGCTCTATTTAAAGAAATAGTCATAAAAGTCCTGAATGCTAAATCTCTTCAAATCTAACAATTGAATCTATAACAAAAACGATATATATAATGATAATGTTCAATACATTCCAGATTATAATGGAGACCCAGCAAGCGAAGCAGACCCTCGCTGATATAGAAGCACGGCACGCTGACATCATCAAGCTGGAGACATCGATCCGTGAGCTGCACGACATGTTCATGGACATGGCGATGCTTGTTGAGAGTCAGGTCGAATATTTGATTCATATTATACCCATATAACACAGTATTATATAAAGAACTTTATACCCTTATAAAGCTCTGTTTTAAGGACATCTCATATTGACTGGTTTCAATCAAATCTCCAGCCAAATTGTCAGATATCTTGATGAGAACCTTGTTATATCTCATAGTAAATATCCTTTTGACCCTTGCTCTGTTTTAAGGACATCTCATATTGACTGGATTTGATCAAATCTCCAGCCAAATTGTCAGATATCTTGATGAGAACAACTCTGTTATATCACATAGTAAATATCTTTTGAAACTCGCTCTGTTTCAAAGACATCTCATGGTACTCATATTGAGTTGCTTTGATCAAATCTCCAGCCAAATTGTCAGATATCCTGATGAGAACCTTGTTATATCTCATAGTAAACATCCTTTTGACCCTTGCTCTGTTTTAAGGACATCTCATATTGACTGGATTTGATCAAATCTCAAGACAAATTGTCAGATATCTTGATGAGAACAACTCTTTTATATCTCATAGTAAAAACATACTATTGAATCTCGCTCTGTTTTAAGGACATCTCATATTGACTGGATTTGATCAAATCTCAAGACAAATTGTCAGATATCTTGATGAGAACAACTCTGTTATATCACATAGTAAATATCTTTTGAAACTCGCTCTGTTTCAAAGACATCTCATGGTACTCATATTGAGTTGCTTTGATCAAATCTCCAGCCAAATTGTCAGATATCCTGATGAGAACCTTGTTATATCTCATAGTAAACATCCTTTTGACCCTTGCTCTGTTTTAAGGACATCTCATATTGACTGGATTTGATCAAATCTCAAGACAAATTGTCAGATATCTTGATGAGAACAACTCTTTTATATCTCATAGTAAAAACATACTATTGAATCTCGCTCTGTTTTAAGGACATCTCATATTGACTGGATTTGATCAAATCTCAAGACAAATTGTCAGATATCTTGATGAGAACAACTCTTTTATATCTCATAGTAAAAACATACTATTGAATCTCGCTCTGTTTTAAGGACATCTCATATTGACTGGATTTGATCAAATCTCAAGACAAATTGTCAGATATCTTGATGAGAACAACTCTTTTATATCTCATAGTAAAAACATACTATTGAATCTCGCTCTGTTTTAAGGACATCTCATATTGACTGGATTTGATCAAATCTCAAGACAAATTGTCAGATATCTTGATGAGAACAACTCTTTTATATCTCATAGTAAAAACATACTATTGAATCTCGCTCTGTTTTAAGGACATCTCATATTGACTGGATTTGATCAAATCTCAAGACAAATTGTCAGATATCTTGATGAGAACAACTCTTTTATATCTCATAGTAAAAACATACTATTGAATCTCGCTCTGTTTTAAGGACATCTCATATTGACTGGATTTGATCAAATCTCAAGACAAATTGTCAGATATCTTGATGAGAACAACTCTTTTATATCTCATAGTAAAAACATACTATTGAATCTCGCTCTGTTTTAAGGACATCTCATATTGACTGGATTTGATCAAATCTCAAGACAAATTGTCAGATATCTTGATGAGAACAACTCTTTTATATCTCATAGTAAAAACATACTATTGAATCTCGCTCTGTTTTAAGGACATCTCATATTGACTGGATTTGATCAAATCTCAAGACAAATTGTCAGATATCTTGATGAGAACAACTCTGTTATATCACATAGTAAACATCCTTTTGAAACTCGCTCTGTTTCAAAGACATCTCATGATATTCATATTGAGTTGCTTTGATCAAATTTACAGCCAAATTATCAGATATGTTGATAAGAATCCCGCCAATAAGCCATAATCGTAATGCTCTTCGAAGATTTCATTTATGAACAGAATTTTATTGAAATTGGTAGTGAATGTAGTCTGAGAAGATTTAACTTTTTTTCTATTAAATGATTTATTATTTAAGGATAATTTTAATTATGGGCAGTTTAGCAAGAAATATGCTTTGAGTCATTAAGGTGAGTATTAAATATTAATGAAATAAAGTTTTATTTATAACACGATAGAAAAAGGCCTAATCTATTTATAGAAGTCAAATACAGGGTGTATTTATTTTGGTATAAAATGATATTATAAGAATTATAAGTAATTATCTAAACGAAGCTCCCTAATACAGGGTGAGATGATCGACCGCATTGAGTATCATGTAGAGCACGCTGTGGACTATGTCCAAACTGCCACCCAAGATACAAAGAAGGCCCTTAAATATCAGAGCAAAGCCCGACGGGTGAGTCCATTCATGAAATGTCGGTTCATTCGTTGCTAATGCGTTTTTTGTTCTGTTTGTCCCTCCCTGTTCCCATTCATCTCCTAAACGTCCATTTCCTTATTCCTATCTTTGTTTTCGTTATGACCGGTTCGTCCATTGCATTCGTTTGCGTCCAAGTCCGGTGATTGGTTCACACCATTTTTTCTGTTATTATTTATTTCTTTTTTTATTTTTATTTATATTTCTGTTACACTGCATCATTGGCTTTCTCTGTTGTGTACTAACTGTTCTTGTTACACGGACTTCATAAACGGGCTTCTCTAAATAATATCATTTTATCTTTACTAAATCAACTAACATTTTCGGTTGTGCGTATTTGCCTCTTGTGTATGGGTTTTTATTTACTAATACTCTTTATATGATATGTATTCACTATATAATAAGACTGTCGTAACAAAAACTATATAATCTATTGTACTGTCACTTAGAAATGTATATAATCTGTGCGCTGTCAATGTCACTGACACATGGTGTAAACGATCCATGCCCTGTCATATCACTGACACATGGTACATATAATCTGTGTTCTGACGTCACTGACCTATGTATATATCTGTCTCACATTAATGGGTAATAAACAAAAAACGTGAACCAATGCCGCGATAGTACCGTCCCGTTCCCTCCCAGCGGATCGTACCTTAGAGCGAGCAGGGTGAACTGATAGATCGCATCGAGCACCACGTGACCGCCGCCACTGACTACGTGGAGTCCGGTGGGGGGGAGCTTGTACAGGCTCACAAGTGGGCGGTTAAAGCGAGGAAGGTAATGTTATATATACGGATAAAAGGATAACCGGGTACTAACAGTGACGTAAAGGATATTTGGAGGGATGGTACTTTATAAATTATATATAGTTCTGGATACTCTAGTAGTTTAAAACTCTACGTTAGACATGAGCGTCTTTCGGTACATTATATATTACTATGTATCACGTATTATGTATTGTCATGCTTCGTATGTATGTACGGTTGAGGGCATTTTTGAGCTTTGGATGTATTTTTTGCTTAAAGCCTTGATGTATTATAATTATATAAATTATATTTACATGCATACATATATGTATAATCAATTTAATTTCTCAGTAAAAGATATGATATAAAAATATAATTTCATTACTAAATTAAATTTAAAAAATGCATGGCATCATTGAATACATTTATTTATTTATTTTAATAAAAAAAAATATTAATAATTAACATTATCACGTAGAACGTATGCGACGATTTTATTTTGTTTTTGTTTGTTTTTGTCATTGCAGAAAAAAATCTTCCTCATAATATGCCTGACCATTTCGCTGGTAATATTAATAATAGTGCTAGCGATCGTGCTGAGCTAGGCGGGGGCGGTGTGACGTCATCGAGCCTCGAATATTACTGTCGGTGCAAAATATATAATAATAATAAAAAAAAACTGATATTTGTAACTGATATACTTATTAGTTGTAAGTTATCAGACGTGTTTAGTGAAGTGCCAGCTTTCAATATAAGGATGCGTTTTCATTACACTATATGTGAAGCAAAAAATATCAAATGATTTTTTTTTATTAGAATGAATTTTTAATTGTCGTTAGTTTTTAATGGAAACGCAGCCTTAATCACGAAACAGGTGTATCGATGTATACCAGTGAACATAGGTTCTGTTTAAATCCAATGCAACATTGTATTATCAAATACGATATAAATAGCTTGGTGTAATGAAGACAATATTTTTAGTGCAATAAGTATATTGTGCTTTAGTTAGTTCGTTATTGTATATACTGTGTACCTGGTGTTGCCAGAATTCGGTTATTTTGTAAATATTTTAATATATGTCAACAAATCTAAACGAAACCACTATATCAAGATTAAATATGTATCAAGTACTAAAAAAAGTTCAGGCCATATCAAACAAATTTTTCTATAGATATACATTATTTACTTAAATAATAATGAATTGATGAATTATTTCTAATTATACTAAATAGCATTTCAATTTATTTGCTTCATAGCAAATGTTATTTAATTATTTTCATTAATACCTTTTGTTATTTATTTATTGTTGTTTAAAATCACAAAATCTTTCCATCAATAAAATCAGTATTCATGTAGAGAAATAAGTTTATGTCCTAAAATTATCTCATACCAAAAATTTTGGTTCTTCCACATGATTACTAATAAAAAAAAATCACAATGAAACTCTCTTGTCCTCTCATCGGAGTTCCAATTTTAAATTAATGGCTATAATTAAAATTATTTTGTTTGTTATTATATAATACCAAAATATTTCGCTTTTAACGAATTTAATATCTAGCATATTTTTGTTTATGTTCTTAATTTAATTTTTCCTTTTCACATCCTAATGTAGAAGACTTTTAGATTATTTTCATTTGTTTATCGAGTACTTATTGTAGTGCTAGTGTACATTGGCTATTTTATTTATTTTAGTATCATATTAATATACTAAGACCTCTATCCTTCAATTAGAATCATATTAGACATAGCTCAAGATATATTGGTTGTTACACATAGCCAGTGTAGACTAGTCCTTATAGAATTGTTATAATTATAATATGATGTAATATTATTACAGTATTTCTGATTATCTCCGGAACAAATTATGTTTAACGATATCTTTATTATTTCGTGTTATGCATTTATATATAGCATTTTAATTTAAAATAATATTATTACTTTTGTTATAACGAAACGCACATTAATTATTTATTATTGATTACAATATTATTAACTGTGATCCTGAATGTATGTGACTTGTATGTTTGAATCTTTATAGGATATATTGTATAAGAACAGTTAAATCACATATATGTACCCCTCATTATTATGTTTGTAATACAAAATTGTTTTTCCTATAGATTGTTTAATGGTCAATGCAACATATTTTCTTGCGTATAGAACTCAAAATGTAAATAATTTATGTTACGTGTGAGAGAATTACACATATTTATTTTTTATTTTGATTTTTTTTTTATTTTTTTATATATAAGTCACCTCGATACAAAAGGCAAATGACGCACTCGTTTCCAAAATTATGCCCGAGTTGTATAATATATGAGAGTCAACAGTGGACAAGGTTTAAAGCGTACTGTTCCATGACCACTCGGCTGAACAGAAGAAGATCATGATCCTTGTATGCCTGCTCATACTCGGCCTGGTGGTGGTCGGCTACGTCTGCTCCTCATTATTGTGAACAACACACTACACAATGCTCAAAGGTAAACTGAAAACTACAGCGAGCTGCGGACTCTGCATTCTGGAACGTTCTAGAACATGATTCTGTCATTCGAATTTAGAACGCGGCTGGCGATCCGAAATTTTTATTCTAGAGAACAAAATCGATAATCCGGGATTATGACGCGTTCTATTATTCAAATTTAGAACGTCTGTCGTACGGATATCGGTATATGTACTCCGGAATGAAAGTTATCGGAATTGGTTGCGTTGTATTATTTGAATATAGAATCGCATTTGTATCTGGAACGGTGCATCTGGAAGGTAATGAGACCGCGCTCGCATTTAAATACTAGTCACTAATACGTGTTGTGTTTGTCCATTGTGCAGAAGAAGATTATGATAATGCTGTGCCTGCTCGTGCTCGGGCTCATTGCGACCGGCTACGTGTATAACACATTCTTCTAAACGGTTCAAGGGGGCAGGTTTGAGGCGTGATATCCCTGGGCTTATAGAGCATCCTAGCTAGATTGTTTGATATGGTCATCGAGTAGTTCATGATTGAGGTTATGGCGACATTCACATGGCAGTTACATCAGTCTTAGTTAAATTATATTTGGGATTATGAAGTAGTGTCGGAGGTTGTTGACGAAAAATTTGCATGCAAACACATCATCGAGTACATCAAGTAAAATAGCGTCTTAAACATAGTACAGATGTCGTTGAAGGACAAACAAAACTTGTGTTATAATGTATCGGAAGGAATTATAATCATTTTTTAAAATTTCTTAATAATTTTCATATGAATAAGATTTAGTCACCACGCCAATAATATACAACACGAACGCTGAACAAATCGCACGCATACATCAATTTGCCTACAACGTGAGTTGAGAATTAAAAAAAAATGTAATGACACTCAAGATGTATGCAAGTTGATTAAAAAACAATCGTATTTATATAAAAACTCCTTTGGCACTTTCTTTATATCTTTCCCACTTAGATTTTTTTTTATATTCTTCAATTTTTCTCTATATTTTTTTTTTTATAAAACCACATCGCTCTTTTATAATTCCACCCCACTATTTATTAAATATGGAACAAGCACTGCATGTAAATTTTTTAAGACAATATTTAAATATAGGTGACTATTATTAGAAAAAAATTATATATTGAAGCTATTTGAAATAGGTATTATTTGTTTATATAGTAATAGTAATGTTTTTATCAAAGGATATAATGTTATGTAGATAAAATAATTTTGTATCAAAAAAATAAGTATAGCTAACATTTCAGTAGGCATAAAAGTATTATACATAGATTAACTGAATATTTTTTAATTATTATATATAACAAAAATCCCTATTTATCTATTTTTTTCCAAACCTTGCACTTAATCCTAAAATTTTCTTCTTCAATATATTAACATATGAACACAACAATTACAGTTACTACTTACATTGACAAAATTTCTATGTTAATTAATCCAATTAATATTCCCCAGGACCGAGAAGCAAGAAAAATTGCCCATATTGGTGCCTGCATCCCCATACAACAGATTTCACCGCGGAGTTTCTCATACATTTATAATTTGTTAGATTTTATCTCTAAGACATTATATAGTCCTCACGGACTTTGTTTAGAATTATATGTTGAATAATCGATTGTAAAATCAATACAATACTATTGAATCAATACTCGATATATTTATATGTAGCTATCTGTTCTATTTTTATTTTATTTTTAAGCGTCCATCTTTATATTTTCGAGTTGTTTAGCTTAATACGACTAAACTATAGAAACATATAAAATATTATGTTTGTTACCTAACATATAACGTAGTGCATACAGATTTATTCGGTGGCTTTTATTTCAGCCATTCTACATAACAAATAAATGCCTGTGGAATTAGGTAATAATACTTCTATATATAAGTAAGGCTACGCTGTTGGATAGCTTCGGTTCGGGTAAAGTTCAGCCTGGTATGACGGCTCATACCTGTGATACAAATTATTCACTAATTAATAATTAATTAATGTCATAAAAGATAATTAAACAATCAGTATTTTGGAATTTTCGTTGTGGCATGGACGCCTCGTGAGACGTTTAAGACGAGTGGCATTCAGCACGCGTATAATAATAGTGAGGCCGGCGGTGACAGCAGACGCCATGTTTGAACACGGTTACCGAATTACAGATTATAAATATTGAAAAAAATGACGTCATTAGGATTTTGTTTTTTTTTGTTATTCATCCATGAAATATTAATGGCCTGTATTAATAATGTTTATTTATATATTAATATGTTTTAGTGATGGTAGCCGTGTCTGTGTCGTTCGTCCCGCGCTACATATCGCGTCGCCTAGCAATAATGACGTTCGAGTGCAATTTGTAAAATTGTTTTAAAGTTTCGAATGTGTGATAGTAGATGCAGTTGTTGTTCGGTTAATTTTAACATTAAATAATAATAATAAATAAATAATAATTTTAAAAATTAATTGTTAATTGTGAGTGTAACGTTTATTAAATAGTAAGTTTAACTGTGAAAAAAAAAATGGACGTACATACTGGACGCTTAAGAGAATGTTAGTTAATGGACGGTTTAGTTTATGTTCTGTTCGTTAAAACATTAAGGCTCCCTTCGTTGTACAGTAAAAAATAATGTAGCTGTTTTTTAGCTAGGGTAAATTTTTTAATGAATTTAAATCACCTACAGAGTTCAGAGTTCAGCATGCGGGTAGAGACGGCGTGTTGGTGCGGCATACACGTAGTGTGCTCGGATGATAAGCACCAAATGTTTAAACTTCTTAGCATTTTCCTGATATAAATAATAATTATTATATCATATTAATGTACGAAAATATCATAATTAGTGAGAGTTCTGATACATCTTGTAATAATAAAAGTTAATATAAAAGGGCGAGGGGAGTTATAACGGCACTAAAGATTATTGAAGTGTCCCGTATCAACCTCGAAAACCCTTCTAGTATGCTGACGCATATATAAGGAAATGAAGCAATGTTAATTTTAACATTACATAAATTAGATTTTTATCCTTAAGTGTAGGATTTCATCTAGTTGCCTTTGTATTAGTAGAGAGAACTAGGTGATACCATTTTCTCTGTAGCTTTATTATATATATTGAGAACGATCTCATATATCTAACCGCCAGTCAATTGTGTCGCTTGTCCGACGCCTGGCGTCTCGACGGACTCAGTGCAAGCTTCACGCGAATGTTTCCTCTATTGTGTACGTGTCTTTATCATCGCATGATAATTAGATGCATTAAAAGTCATATAGTATTAAGTATACGGCCTCGCTGTGAGGCTGTTTAACTGACACCAATCTAACTTAGTAGATCGAGTACTCACGCACAAGTTACTCGGACCCGACGTCGTCTAGAGCGGTTCAATTCTTCTATATATTTGTAAATTGTATTATAAATAACACTATAACTAGTCGGCTTTCCTTGATCTCTTGTTCTGATAATCTTTGTCGTATTGCAGTTGTATTTATCTGTTGTTAGCTTATCCTGTGAGTCTAAAGTTGAAGCATTTATATACTATAGAGTCTACTTTAAACAGCTGTGTCGTTGGCTATGACAAGAACATCCATTGAGATTGGCGCTCAAATCCACGCGTTCTCAACAGACTATAAAACATTAATATATTAATTCATAGATATTTTCATAATCAATAAATAGTATGCATATTATTATTGTTATTGGATTGCTAATTATATATAAATAAGTACACAATTAGTATAGTTTATATACTTATGTGTCAATTCTTATAGCGTTTTATTACCTAAACAGAAATATAGATGGTAAGTGTTAAAATATGAACGTCATTTAAGAAGCTTCCTCCACAGATTATGGAACTTGGTCAATAGACATTATATGTATTGTGATATAAACTCACAACGTAATCACATGCTGTAATGTACAAGTTTTCTATAACATTATAAGTATTTAAAATATATTTAACTTATTCAAATTGGTAGCCCTGTTGATGAATTAAAAAAAAAATGTATCTACATTGTTCTTGCTTTCTAACTATGGGACAACGAACGCATTACATATGTAAGAGTTAAATTTAACAATGAAATAACCGATTGAATAACAAAACAGGCGATTTCAAATACGACTATTAATCTTCTAGTTTTTGGGTGTAATAGCTTTCTAAAATTTGGTATAACATAACTCGTCCTTATACGCCCTTTTCATAGTGATCTAGAATTCAGATGTTAAAATAAATCTCCACAACCAATTAAGGCCTTTGCCAAAAGTCTGAAACAATTTCCGAAGCACTAGATGTCGAACGTGTTTAATTATAAAAACAGTTACCGATTTGTAGAAAAAAAAACCTCTTGTAATAGTAGAGTCGCTAGACATCAATTAGTAGTTAAAATATATTTACCAGATAATAATATTCGTGCTTTTGTTATAATTTAAATCTATCGATGTTGCTTGGCGTTGAGTTGTGTCGGTTATATAAAAGATTTATTATGAAATGTTGTTTTATAAATACATGTACGTTTATTTAATCGGAATTGTTATAATAGTGTTACATTGTTCTATTTCTGTTCTTATTGATATTGTGTAAAGATATTTATACATTGAAAGTATCTCTCTATGAAAAAACTTCTTGTAATCTTGTAAAGGAATATTTATTATGGATAAAAAGTATTGTATTTTGACTTAATCAATGAAGTTGTGGACACGTTGTAAAATTCAAGTTAGATTGGTTTTATAGTCATTCAGTATGTAGGTTATCAATCTGAAATTTTCTCATAATTATAAAATAAACGGTGTTTTCTGCTGTGATTATGAATTTTATTACCCTTACCACTTAAAACAAATTGTCATGTACAATTAATATTTTAATAAGAGTCTCGCAACTAAAATCACAACATAAATTTGTTAAATGAAAAATTGAAATACAATTATTTTTTGTTATTAATTAGGCTCATTAAGACCCAGTTCCACCAATCAATGTTTGTTTAATCTAAACACAGCATTTACTAACCAACCTTCAAAATTATAAATGTCTGTTAAAATATTTACGTCCCACGATGACAAATTAACAACGCATTATTAAACGTCATGTCAAATGACCGACTACCAAATTATTCGTTCTTGTAATATAAGACGGCCAAACTGAAACTATAGCGTTTAATAGGGCACGTTTGCAACGATGCACCACTTTATACTTAGATCATATATATCCCACGATACGTCACTTGTTAGGTAATGCGACCAAATTTTGTATATCGTTGATTGCATACATTAGGCACACAAAAAGCTTTCTTTTCAACTTAATAGGTGTAACCTGTCAAAATCGGGTTGTCAATAAATTGTGTTATATATTATTATGTTATAAATATAGGCATAAATTGTGTTCAAATTATAAGAGATAAAAAGAAAATTTAATTTGCAATGTTATAAAAAAGCTGGAGGCAAAATCATCATAGGAAATGAAATTTTAATTCACATTATTAATAAGTACAAGGAAATAGTCAAAACAGATGACGTTGCTATGGTTACAAGAAATCAGGGCTGTGATTGGACAATTGAGTTTCGACAATGCATTAACAGTCATGTTAGCCTTTAGACGGAGCTCCAGAGCAGGAATTAATATTAGTGGCTTGTTAAGACATTTAAACGGACATTTGTTCGTGGTGGGACGCTCAATGCATCCAACAGACCATCAAACGCCTTAGCAAGATGTTACTTATTTAACATTGATTGGTGTAACTGTGTCTAAATATTAATTTGTTTTTCTGACAGGTCAATATTAAATCTAGTATTATTCTTTGACATTTATGAACTTCGAGGCTTTAACAGGAAAAGATGTTTAATAAATAAAGACGTTCACATTATCAAAATATTTCATAATTCTAGGGTGATTGATGCCCAATCATAAATAAAAACTGAAAAGGTTAAAAACAATTTCCTTAAACAAAACAGTTTTCTAAATTTGCTTTATGCCTGATTTCCTTTGAAGCTAACATCGGATCTTTGCAAGGATGGAACGTTACCTAATTTTATTAAAAATAAGTTTTTTGATACTGGCTAAGCGAATAGATTGTCATATGAATTTACAAATACTAAAAATTTGTCAAAACGGTTTCAAGTACAATGAAGTTATTAAATATTAAAATGTTGTTATTGGCAAAATATTTACAATTTCAATGTGAATGAAGCCATAGCATGGAAATAAATAGAATGACGTTGACAGTTTGTCACTTAAACAACTACTAACTAGGTGTTTGAGTTGTTACCTGATGAATATTACAAACATTTCTTAATATTAACAGTTAATACTAATTATTTGCACGTTTTACCATGAACGCACCACCGACATTCGAATCATTTTTACTGTATGATGGAGAGAAGAAGTAAGTTCTTGTGGCAATAAAAACACGTTAACTTTGGATCGCATTGTAATAACAATTGTTGTTTTTTTGTATGCTTTAAGGGTTCAGAAAGAAGAAGACACAAAAGTTACAAATGCGGCTATATTTACTGTTAATAAGGAAGACCATTCGCTTGGAAACATGATTAGACAGTAAGTAACCACCTTAAAAGAAATGTGCTTCATAATGAAAAGGAAACCTTAATATATCTATGACAAATTCTACTTTTACAGCCAGCTTTTAAAGGACCCGAAAGTATTATTCGCAGGATATAAAGTACCACATCCTTTAGAACATAAATTTGTATTACGTATTCAAACGACTTCGGACTATACACCCCAAGATGCCTTTATGAATGCCATCACAGACTTGACATCTGAGTTATCTTTGTTTGAAGAAAGATTTAAGGTGAGTTTATGTGAAATTTTATTAAGTATTTCCTGTCTTTCCTGCTTTTATTATGACGAGCAATTTATGATCTATATAGATTAACAAGGTTAGGTATGGTAGAAGATTATAATACCGACTTTGATATTGATAGCAAATAAGATTTCTGAAAATAATAAAGCAGAAAAGAAATACTAATTATAAATGACTGTTTTGAAACATTCGATTAAGAAGTTATTTTCAGTATTGATTTATTATTTCTTCGTTTTCAGGAAGCAATTAAAGAAAAGAAGGACGGTTTGGACTGAAGAAAATTGATAAATAGAATTAAGCTAAATAAAATTAAGTATTGTGTAAATAAGAATACATTGTTTTACTTATTCTTATACTATCTACAAAGAATTTAAGAAAATCTTAACTATGAAAATTACAAGTATGCATGTAATCTTTGTATGGTATCAGATATACATTTCAGTATCATCAGCATATTTTAATCCTTAACCATATTAGAAGGAGTAAGCACAGTATGTTCTCTTTCTCGGTTGCAATTTATTATCTGTCATCTTTTACACTCCAATGACTTTATAATTAAAAATACAATTGCTTCCCACAGCTTATCTCTACCTAAGTAGACTTGATCATGGACAGTATACAGCAAAATATATAGTTTTTTAAATTTTTTATTTCAAATATAAAAGAAGTAACAGTTATAATTTCAAGATGCTATTAATTTTGTAAATAAACATATATTTTTGATCTTATGTTGCAAACACTGATAAGTTATTACAGAATTATTTTTAATAGTTTTATATACCTTAACTTGAATATTTCATGAAGTTTTTATTCCTTTCATACCATTTCAATGAGTCCTTTCAGTTATATAGAGAAATCAAAATAACAAACAATGAAATGAATTTCTTGTCCCTGTGATTTCATACAGGCCTCAGATGTTTGATGTCAATGGATGGTGAAATTGTGCTTTTTTATTTCTCTACAGAATGGAACATTAAACCCAGACAACCATACTTTAAAAATTGGCAAAATTATTGCAGTATTGTAAAAGCTATTTTCCCAAATACTGTATGAATCTTTATCGTTACATACTTCAAAATATATTATAGCAATTTCATCAAAAGCTAGATCTCTTTGGACATTTATATTTCAGCGGTCTCAATAAATTAAATGGGTATAAAAACAGACATCTTTTAACCTAAGTTTTCTTAAAAGGGTGTGTTTATTAAAACCAAAATATATTTTAATCATTTTATTGAGTTTATAAAATTTTAATTTGGTGTTCCGTTACTAATATATAAAATAAAAGTTTGTGTGTGATTAAGACAAATAATGTTTAAAACTGTGATTGTGATGCAAATCGATTTGTGTCTAATAATTAGCCTATTTCTCTATATGCATTATAACCAGATAATGCACAAGAAAAATCAATACCATCCCTTGATGAACTTAAAACACGATAAAACAATAACAAAAGAGTCCTTATTTACAAATATTTTTCTACTAACTTTATAACCTAGCAAAAGGGGACATACCATGTTCATGGTAAACAATAAATAATACGAACAAGAAACAAGTAACAGCAACAATGGTAATATTAGAACTAAAATCAATAAATAGCTATTAAAATGTCTCTTCTTCATCACAGTTCTCCGTATTGTGGCCAAATACTGAAACAAAAATAAATATTTTATTAAATTTGCTACATTAAATTCCTTAGAGGGCTGAAAACAAAAACTTTATTATTATTAATAATTCACAAAATTGTATGATATGATCTTATTTGATAACATATTTTGAGGTTGTAGAATAATAAATATTTGAAATCGGTCTCTATTTTACTAACGATTATATTAAGCCTCTAAGGGCTTCTATAGGGTGTCTCACGGAAAATTTCGAATTTAAAAAGGCTATAAAAAAAGAACGACTCGATAGATTTCAATGATCAAACATTTATTTGAAAGCATAATTCATGACATTATTTGTGAAAAATTATCTCGGTCAAATGTCCACCACAGCTTACTTGGCAGTACCCTATTCGATCAGTCCAATTTTTCAGTACATTTTCAATTGTTTCCGGCCTTATGGCAGCAATGGCAACTTCAATTTCATGTTTCAAGTCATCAATCGTGCTTGGCTTGTTGGCGTAACAAACGTCTTTGACCGCTCCCCAAAGGTAATAATCCAATGGTGTTAAATCGCAGCTTCTTGGAGGCCAATTCACATCACCATTTTTGCTGATTATGCGATTTTCGAAGATTGGGCGCAAAACATCGACCGTAGCATGGGCTGTATGGCACGTAGCCCCGTCCTGTTGAAACCAAATATCGTCCAAATCATACTCTTCCATTTGACCGAAAAACCAATCAGTTAACATAGCGCGGTAGCGCTCGCCGTTGACGGTTACGGCGGCTCCTTCATCATTTTCAAAAAAAAATGGGCCGATGATGCCGCCGGACCAAAATCCGCACCAAACAGTCACTCGTTGTGGATGTATCGGTTTCTCCTCAACGACGTGCGGGTTTTCTGTGCCCCATATACGGCAGTTTTGTTTATTTACATAACCGCCGAGGTGAAAATGAGCCTCGTCGGAAAAGATGATTTTTCGATAAAACTCACCATCTTCGGCCAAACGATCTTCCGCCCAATTTGCGAACCGTAGACGTTTCGGATGATCAATTGGCTTCAGCTGTTGGGCCAACTGAACTTTATATGGCTTCAGGGCAAGATCTTTGCGCAAAATTCGGTGCGTAGTTGACCGAGAAAGGTGCAACTCTTGCGCTCGATGACGAATCGATGTGGATGGCCGTTCACGAACACTTTGTTCCACCGCAGCGATGTTTTCGGTTGACCTTGCTGGAAATGGACGTTTACGTGTTGTTTTATCCAACAGTGATCCAGTTTCGCGCACACGATTCACAAATTGCCGCACATATGCCTCCGATGGCAAATCTTTTTTGGCAAATATTTTTTTCAAATTTCGCACAGTTTGCGTTGGCGATTCACCACTTTGGAAATAATTTTTTAATATTTCCCAGCTTTCCTCAAGCGAATAGCGACCCATTTCGTAAATGTCAGACTTATTACTAAATATGTGACACTTCTCCGATGACAGTTGACGTCTCCAATGTCAAATTATCGTTAGTTCAAATTCGAAACGCTAGATGGGACACCCGTTATAAGTAAAATCCTTAATATGTTTAAATTGGTATATTCATGGTCTTTTAACAAAATAAATCTTCCATTGAATTGATTTCCTATATAAAATAAAGAATGATAAAATTGTAATTTCTTTTGCAGTTTAAGCAAGTAGAAAATTATATTCCTGAGATTGCAGGTTTGATTCAGCTCTTTTCCGTACATTGCTTTAGTGACAAAAACGTAGTAGGAATGAAACAAATATTTTCGAATTAGGTACTACATGTTTTTTTATTATTTTTAAAACTACATATTCCCAACAATTCACTTACTTTGCGGCCAACATGATCTCTGCAGATGAGATGAAAAATATGTAGTGTTAGTAATATTTATTTATAATGATTTAAATTGTTGTCTACTTCACAATTGTAAGGTCAACGTTATTTATTTTCTAATATTTATATTAAATTTTTATAATATTTAACTAGCGTTATCTATATGTTTGTTATAATACTATAAATTAAAGCTAATAATATTTCTGTATAGTAATTTAAATGTCTAAATACTTAACAATTGGTTTTACAATTCCTAATTAGAGCCTCTGCATATTTTACAAAATGTTAAGAGCTTTAATATTTCATTGAATTAAACTTTTATGAGGGGAACTAGCGCCCATTATTGTAACCTACTCTCACCTAAATGTTACTTTTTGACTATTATAAATGGGATACAAGTGTTAGATTGGGAATTCTGTAACGAGTTGAGGAAGTACTGCCTAAATTATTTTTAGCCTTAGTTTTAAAGTATCCAAAAATATTAGTTTCACTTCAATGAATACTCGCGTAAATCTTAGATATCATTATGTAGTAGGAATCTTCAGTAGTTATAATACAACCTTCACATATATCGCAGTATGGTCTCGGCGGCGGCGGAGGTTTCCTCTCCGTGTGGAGTGTAGGCTCGGCGGACTGACGCGGACAGTCCTCTGTGTCGTGAGCGTCGAACACGTCACAGATGTCGCAGAACAGACGAGGGGCTCGAGTCTTACGACCGTTACTGGAATTACGATTACACTTCCATTATTACCAATATAACTAAGAAATTCATACAAATCTGAGTACAAAACAAATTTTAGCTTTAGTTTGAAATAAATGATACACAATGGAGTATGTTAGTGGTTGCATAATGCTGGTTGTAAGAGATAATTGCAGTAAATATTTAACTCACAATAATGGCGGTTCAGGCGCGACCGTAGCTCCCTCTAGGGCTTGCACGCGCGCCGTCAATTGTTCGTTCTTTCGTTGCATGTCTACTATCACAGAGTTCAAGAAGCTCACTTGTCCGTCTATAACTTCTTTATCGTCAGCCCTACAATAAAATTACGATATATTATGTTGGCCATTTAACATTTATTATTCTTTTATTGTTTTCTTACTTTTGTGGTGCTGTATCGCCCTGTCCCAAGAGACCCGCAGCATTATCGTTTTTGTCTCTTATGTCTTTACTTTTTTGCGCCATTTCTTTTTGCAACATAACTTTCTCTCTTTCTGCTATTTCCACCTTTGCTTTTTGAGTCTGCAAAAAATAATTATTTACTGATTCGTACCAAATATGAAGATAAGATATAGGTTAAAAATAATTAGGTATACCTTCAAATCTTCCTGCATTTGCTTTATTTGATTATCCTTAACGTTAATATCTCTAATGCTATTTTCAATGTCTACTCTTAATTTGGCAATTGTTTTTTCACTATTTGCTAACGCTTCGGCTCCGCTTCTTCTCGTTTCTTGCAGTTCCAAAGTCAGTTTTTCTAATCTTTCGTCTTTGCTCTCATTATTACTTTGCTGAACAGATATTAGTTCTAACTTTTGAGATAGATCCAATAGTTTCTTGTCAGCCTCAACAAGTTTCTCTTGTAGTTTATTCTGTTTCTCTAATTCCGCCGCTACTTTGTCTTTTGAGTCTTGTAATTGTTTCTCATAATCATTAATTTTATTCTTCAGATCGTTTCTTATAGCTTTGCTTTCTTTTTTGTAATCGTCATATTGTTTTTGTAATTGTTTATTGAGATCTTCGTAATTCACTTTCTGAGCTTCGTTGATGTTTGTAAGTTTTTTAATGTCATCCTCGGATTTGGCCAATAATTGTTGTAAGTCAT